CCCCAAAACCCCAAAACCCCAAAACCCCAAAACCCCATTAGTTGAAATAATTGAGATTGGCTGAGTTGAAAATTTATAGATATAATTCCAGATTGAGGTATTATATTATTAAATAACTAAAGCAAATATGGGTATGCGATTGATTTTTACTGATCTTCTTTATAGGAAAAGTACACGGATCTATGGCTCGTGCTGGTAAAGTTAGAAACCAAGCCCCCAAGGTTGACAAGACAGAGAGAGCAAAGAAGAGAGTTGCTGGTAGAGCAAAGAAGAGACTTCAATACAAGAAAAGAATCGTGAACGTTGACCCCAATGACAAGAGAAAGAAGGGTCCAAACTTCGGAGCTGGAAAGAAAGTCGTTGTTGCTCCATGAACAACCATTCAATAGTCACAACAATGCAGCTCGTGATCTTAATTTTTAAGAGTTCATGTTATTCTGTTCTTTTTTCTCTCCCTCTTATATATTATTAAATACAACTAAATATGGGCACCTGCTGCTGTCTTTGTGTTTTCTTCTATTAATTATATATTACTAGTTTAAGATATAACCTTAAAATTTACTTCACAATAATTCTCTCTAATTAATTTAATTGTTTGATTGAACTAAGGTAGGTGAACTGCCACTTATAATTTAAAGTCGGTATTTAAAATTAAATTAAGAAAAAAATTTAAGTGAGATCAAATGGAGTTTCCCTTTAATTGTGAGAAAATTCTAGGAGTAGATACTGACGGATTTGCTATACTTGATGGTAAGAAAGGTATGAACAGTGCTGCTTCCACAAATAGAGCCATAACTAGGACTATGCCAGATTTACAGAATAATATGTACGATTTAATCGATAAAATGGGAGCTGCCTCTGCTAAAGCCTAAGCCCTTCCTGCAATTATTACGACAGCCTCTAGACTCTTCACTAGTGACAATCGACTCTACTTAAGAGCTGAAGGAAATAAAGTAATTGGACTTCTGAAAGTTGGAGTTAAAAAGCTATTTATCAGAAATGAAATGGGTGCTATCAAAGAAATTTCGCCATTATGCGTTCTTGACTTCTATGTGCATGAAAGTGTTTAAAGAGGAGGTCAGGGTAAGGCTTTGTTTGAAAAGATGCTAGAGGCTGAATCAGTAAAGCCTGAGAAGCTCGGGTATGATAGACCCTCTGAGAAATTATTAGGATTTTTAGCTAAACATTATGGCTTGAAGAGATATGTGCCTCAGAACAATAACTATGTTGTATATAATGCTTACTTTGAATCAGCAAACGATAGTAATAATCTTTCAAGAAAGTAATAATAAGAATAAAACTCCTAATAGTTCGGTTTTGGATAAAACTCTAATAGCCAGAGACGAACTCCTGGATCGCAATCTTTATAAATGCCTAATTATTCACAGACTATGTACAACCCTAATCAATCACAATCAGGCAATGCCCTTCCTTAAGCTAATCAAATTACTAATAGTAATATATTCGGAACATAAAATAACTTCTACATGTAATAATAGCAGCAGTAATCAAGACAATAATTACCACCTAAACCTGTTTAGAAATAGCCTGATCAGAGTTCACTTACAAATGCAGGAGGTTAGTAAGTATTTGGAGCACCTAAAAATAGCATGGGCTCTTCTCAATCGAATAAAAGATCATCTACAACTGATAGAGTATTTGGAGGGGTTATGAATTAGGAGGAATGCTAAAAAGAAAATAATTACTTAAAATAAGATACTTAGTAATTTGCAGCAAAAACCAACTAGCTTTTAGCTTAGTAATAAATGCAATCTTAGGGTTCACAAAGGAGGCAAGGCTAGAGAGATACTATGGGATCTCTTCTTCAAGACATGTAATCAATGACAATAAACGAAACTAAATAATCACATATCAAGAATGGATAAGATTATCAGCTTAGCAAACTTAACTCTAAATTAAGCGATAACGAAAGCATCATAAAAAAGAATCAGGAAGAAATGCAAATGCTTATGATGAAAACAAACTAGAATTAAATGCAATAAAATAATGGCAGTAAACCAGGCTAGTTGCAAAGACCTCCTTCATCTAAGAATGTTTCAATATTAGCTCCTTATGTTTAAATACCAGGTGGTGATGCTTCTTTAAATTCTGATATCTAGAAACCACCAAGCAGAGGACCTACATCATTTACTGCTGCAGGAGGTGACTACATAAAAAGAACTCAATATGCAACACTGAATGATGATTCTACCCAGAGGTTGAATGACAACCAGTAATTTGTATAGCTATAGAAGTAAATTAATAATGGAGCCAGAATTCCATGGGCCTCCTATAACTATCAATTCTAGCACTATAGAAAATGAATGAATAATCCTATTCTCTCTATAAACCTTTGATTGATAGATTGATTGATTATGATATATGTTTATTTCATATTACTAAAAGTTTCATAGACTTATTTGTATGGGGTTTTGGGGTTTTGGGGCCCTTATGAGCATATTAGGCTCAGATCTGAGGC